CGTTCGCAGGTACGGCCTCGCCGCTCCTCCGCCGTCGAGCCTCGAACTGGTCACGTTGTCGATTGAACAAGAAGACCGAAGGGTGGAAAATGACAGGGACGGGATTCTTTCAACGACCACCGGCGGTCCGAGTTCTACTCATTGAAAATCACACGCCATGACGCCGGTGCCGTTTGTTAGCATGAAGCGAGCCGACTTTGTGCTTGTTTCACATGCACGAGGTATCGCTCTCTTGGTTTTATGTCAACTTGCATACTTAACTTCAGCTGGGAGTGGCAGCAAACCGCTTGAAGGTTGTTTTTTTTTCTCAACATCAGTAACACCAACCAACCGGTTTGTCAAGGGCAGTTCTATTCCCATCAATTGCTGTTCATTGTCTGGGGGGGGGGGGCGTCTTTGAGAATTTCTGCATTTCTTGCCAACCCTCGTCAGTTTCCTCCTCACAAGCGTTGGTCATTTTCCTCACACGCAGGTGCCATGACCCAGGCGGCGGCGGTGGCGGCGGCGTCTTCTGGTGCCGCGGGGCCGACACCAAGTGCGGGCCGCGGTGCGGCGGCTGCCGATGACGTCGCGGCATCCAGACCACCGATCGCAGCTCAGGACCGCAAGGCGGCCAGCCCGGAGGAACCAGCGAGAGGCAGGTGGGGGCCACAAAAACACACACACACACACGTACCTGCGCGCCGTGCGTGAGCTCCGCCCTGGCTCTGCGCTTAGCGTCCTAGCTAACGCCACGCTAACATGCGCTAAGGGTGTTTGTGAGCTGGCCCGCGACCCGCCGGACGTTTCGTGCGCATTTGCGCTTCGGTCCTCCTCCGGCCTGACCCCGCCTCCCCTCGTCACGGGTCAAACCTGATCTCCGCTTTCTATGTCCCCTGCACCCAGTCCCGGCCGATCGCAATCCGAGTCGATCGTAGCCCCGCCACCTCCGTGGCCCTTTGCCCCGTGCGAGAGCTCCGCCCCGCAGCGGCCCTCCACCGGCGTCTCGGCGGCTTTTATCACCCTCAAGCGGAACGAGGACGCCGATGACGTCCGCCGGCATGCTGAGGCGGGTCAATCGGGGGGCCGCTTGGCGCAGCCCGACTCGGACGGGTGAGTTTGCGAGGGGAGGAACGAAAGGAGGAGCGAGAGGAGGGAGGAATAGAAGCGGAGTCGGGCGAGTGTAGAGGAGGAAGGGATGAGAGAACAAAGAGAGCGAGGAGTGAAAGAGAAAGTGGAGTATGGGGAGACGGGGAAGGAAGATGGGGAGGAGGTCGCAAGATCCAGGACGAGAAAAGAGGACACAAAACAGAGCAGATAGGACAAGTGGAATGAAAATTAAAAGGTGCAAGGTACACCCCCCCCCCCCCAAAAAAAAACAGGGAGGAGCAGAAAAGAAGAGAAGGAGACAGAGAGATGCAAAGAGAGATGAAAAAGGGGGGACGGGTGAGGAAGAGAAGTTTGAGCCGTGTTCTCTTTCTCCTCTGCAGCCTCCTGCTGAGGGAGACTTCCACCGGGCTCTCCGCTTCGGAGGAGCTGGCGGAAGAGGCGCCCGAAAGGGAACGGAGGCGGAAGCAACACGAGGAGGAGAAGAGGCGACTGCTGGCGGAGGAGAAGAGGCGACTCTTGCGGGAGCAGGAGGAGCTGAGGAAGCTGAAGGATCGGAGGAGGCGCGAGGAGGAGCGGCTGCTCCGGGAGAAGCGAGAGCGGGACGACAGGCTGCGGCGAGACGAGGACGGCAAGAGGAAGAGAGAGCAGGCGGCCGAAGAGGCCAGAAGGAGAGAGGAAGAGAAGAGCCTGCGGCGGGCCCGCGAGGAGGAGCCCGGACTCGTGACGGTGAGGGAGGAGGCAGAAGAAAGGCGGCGGAGGAGGGAGGAGGAGGTGCGACACGTGCTGGAACGAGAGGAGGAGAGCAAGATCGGGCGGAGGGAGGAGGAGGCCGACGAAGAGGAGACAAAGAGAAGGGATGAGGAGGAGAGGGCGCGGGAAAAGAACGAGGCTCCAACATTGGGAGATGAGAAAGCCGGTTGGCAGAAGGAGGAGGAGAGGGAGGAGGAGCGAGAGAGGCGCCAAGAGGAGAGCAAGATCTGGGTGGAAAAGGAGCCAGAGTTGGGAAGATTCCAAGAGGAGAAAGGGGGGGCGGAGGAGGAGAAGAAGGAGGGAGAGGGGGTGGGCCGGGAGGAGCAGGGAGAGTGGGGGGCGCAGAGGTCGAGGGAGGAGAGAGAGGTAGAGGGCAAAAAGTGGGAGGAAGAGGCGAAAAGGAAGGAGGAGGAGGAGCTAAAGAGAAAGGCCGACGAGGAGAGAAAGAAGACGGACGAGGAGGAGCGCGGAGCCAGCGAGATGGAGAAGGAAGAGCAGACGTTGAGGGAGGAGAGAGAAAGGATGGAGGGCAAAAAGAGGGAGGAGGAAGAGGTGAGGAGGAAGGAGGAGGAGCTAAAGAGCAAGGAGGACGAGGAGAGAAAGAAGAGGCACGAGGAGGAGCGCGGAGCCAGGGAGGCGGAGAAAGCCATGCAGACCTTGAGGGACCAGACAGAAAGGATGGAGGGCAAAAAGAGGGAGGAGGAGGAAAGTGAGAGAGAGGCGCTCGGATCTAGGGAGGGGAAAGAGGGGAAGAGAATGGAAGAGGAACACGGCAGGAGGGTGCCGGCGGACACAGGCGCGCCGCCATCCGAGGAGGAGAGGAGAGGCAGCGATGAAAGCCGGAAGGAGGAGGAGGAGGCCAAGCCCAGCCGTGGCGGGCGCCGCCTCCCTCTGCTGGACAGCGGCGCCCTGCCGGCCCCGGGTCTCGGCCCGCGGGGAGAGACCGCGGCGGCCGAGCGCAGGTAAGTTTGGCCCCCGCCACCGCAAAGAGACGGCGCTCGCCCGCCTCTGACGGACGTCTGGTCTCATCATCGGGCCAAAAGCCTTCCCGCCGCTCACCTTCGTTTTGTCCCGTAGCGGCGAGGCGGCGATGACGGAGGCGAACCGGCAAAGTTCCCCCGAGGCCCAAGCGGAGGCGTCGCCTTCGGCTCGGGTCGCGCCCCCAGAAGCGGAGCCCCGCCCCGTCGACGCGGCTGCGCTCGGCTTGGTCGCCAGGTTGCGGCTAGCCGCCGAGGAGCGGGAAGAGGAACGGGAGGAGGAGGAGAGGAGAAGAGAAGAAAGGAGGGCGCGCGAGGAGCGGATGAAGGAAGGGCGGGAGCTACGAGAGAAGGGGAGCGCAGAAGGCGAGAGGAGCAAGGCGGAGGAACAGACGGGCCGAGGAGAGACGCCGGACACGGAAGGAGACCGGGAACGGGAACTGAAAACGAGAGCGAGAGAGCAAGTGAAGAAAGGCCTCCGCAGCCCATCGGAGGCCGCGGCAGCTCTCCAGGAGGCGGAGCTTGATGACCTTGTGGACGAGGAGGACGGCGCCGCACGCCTCAGAGCGCCTGAGACCCCAAATCCCGCCGATCCTCCCGCTCTTTTGGAGGCCCTCGGCCCCCGCGGTCATCTGGAGTCTCCTCTAGCTCCTCCCGGTTCCTTTTCTCCTCCCGGCCCTCCGGAGCAACCTCCGGGCTGCGTTGTCCATCAAGACGACGCCAGCAAGCTCCCGGTTCCCGCCGCGGGCGAGGCCCAACATGGCGCCGGGTCCGAGCACTCGTCATCGGGAGAATACCTGTAAGTCGTCGCCGTGACGCGCGCAAACACTCAAGCCGAGGGGGAGGAGGAGCGCGATAGTGACGGGTGTCCCGTTGAGAAAGAGAAGCGCCGACGAGGACGTCCGAGATGAGTGATGAGGAAGATGAGCGGATGTTGGGCACCGGAGATGATGATGATGATGATAGGGGGATGCGCAATCTGAGAACGATGCCGCCAGCGCGAGATTGACGCTGACGTTCATCTGCGGCAGGCCGTCGGAGCGGCGCGGCGGGTCCTCGGCCGGCCCGATCCGAGAGGAGGCCGACGGAAAGGACGCCGCCGTCGACGAGGTAAAGCCAAAAGCGGCGAGCCAGAGGCGAAGGCACTAAGGTGCGACCCTCCCCCTCCCCCCTCCGGCAGGGCCCGGTGACCTGCAGCCAGTCGCTGCTGCGGTGGTGCCAGGAGGTGACGGCCGGCTACCCGGGGGTCAAGGTCAGCGACTTCAGCGCGTCCTGGAGCGACGGCCTGGCCTTCTGCGCCCTGGTGCATCGCTTCCACCCGCAGCTCATGTAGGACGCCGCCCCCCCCCCGTGGCCGCCGCGTGGCCGGCCGGCCGTCACGCAGCGGCTTCTCTTTTGTCCCTGCAGGGATTTTCAGCAGTTGAACGCTCACGACGCGGAAATCAACAACAAGAAGGTGAGCGCCGTCACCGCGGCTCCGGGCTTGCGCGCTTTGGATGCCGAGAAGCACCCCCCCACCCCCTGCCCCCCCAAAAAAGGGGATTGAATTGAATTGGGGGAAAGTACCCCGAAAAAGTTCAGTGGGTCCGAGATCATTCCGAGTGGCTTCCCAACGTCAACCTTGGCTCAGGCCCGCCGCCATCCGGCCGCACTTCTAGTGGCGCTCGAGAATCGCTTTCGGGTGCTTCTCGGTGGCCAACGTTTGGTGGCGACGCACCTCGGCGGCGAGCCGAGCGGCAAAACAAACGCTTGGCAAGCGTGTAAAGGAGGCGGCGGCGGCCTTTCCCGCCAGGCCTTCGCCGCCTTGGAGTCGGTGGGCGTGCCGCGCCTCCTGGAGCCGTCCGACATGGCGGCGCGTCCCCTTCCGGACCGCCTCATGGTGATGACGTACGCCAGCCAGCTGCGCGGACACTTCACCCGCGCACCCCACGGAGGAGGGGCCGCCCTGCCCGTCCCGCCGCCGAGAGCCAAGAGGCCGCTTGAAGGTTGGTCTGAAGATTGTCGTCCCCGCTTTTTTGGGCGCGGGGTTGCGGGGGGGGCGCCGACGGGGGGGTTCGGGCCCGCTTGCGATGCGGCTACAGAATAGCGAGACCAAACACCAAGAGCAACTTTGAAATCAGTGAAATCCAAGTTTGGGGGAGGGTCCGCTGGAGTTTCAGTTCGACAACAAAAGTAGCTCTTTGTTGTCCTTTTGATGCCGGGGAGCTTTGTCAAAGTGAATCGAGGAGTTTCGTTTGCACAAACGTCGTGGACTCTTGAAAAGAGTTTGGCCCTTTCCGTCGTCTTAGTGGCACGCAAGTGCGTTGACGGCAGTCGATGCCTTCCAAAGTAGTGCTTTGCCGTCATTGTCCTGCTCAGAAATGACGCTCAATCTCATCCTGGCGCCCATGGAACAATGTGAAAGCGTTGGAACCCTTTAAATGGGGGCGGGGGGGCGCCGGGGGGGCTACGCCGTCCTGTCAGTTTCGGTCAAGCGAGCCCACCTGGTTCAGTAGAGAACGCAAACCGGCACCGATGGGCTCCCGGGGGATGAGCGCCGTCACATTGTTGCGTTTTGCCGTCGGAGACGTTGACGTGTCGCCGCGCTTGCGTTTCCTTGCAGGAGAGGCCACGCCTGCCGTGCCACAGGTGAGCTGCCGCTCGCTTCCGCCTCCTCCTCCTCCTCCTCCTCTTGGCCGTCTTTGATTTGATGTTGTGCTCAGGAAGAGGGCGACCTCATCAAGGAGTCTGCAGCGAGCGCACGGGAGCATGGTCGGAATTTCAACACACACACACACAAAAAGGGCTTCATCTCTTTGCTGACTGTACGTGTGTGTGCGTGTGTGTGTGCGTGTGTGCAGAATCAGAGCATCCCGAAGAAGAAGACAAGACAATGGTGAGTTTTTTGGTGTCCGTTTGGAACTTTGATGCCGTCAACCAATCCACCGATGGAGCCGCAGCTCGTTCATTGCTTGCTTTCTTCCTTCCCGCCCTTTCTGGACTTGCCAATTCCTTCCGGCCTTCACCCTTCCTTCCTTGCTTCCTCCCTGGCCGCACGTGGGTGTTGCACGTACACGCACGGGCGGTCGGCATCTTCAGTACGTGCTCAGCGAGATGGCGGCGTTGGAGGCGGAGCAAAAGCACATCGACGGCAGGGCGGCGGTGGGGGAGCGACGTCTCAGGAGCCTCATGGAAAGCGGTGTGACCACAGGTGAGCTGCCGCTCGCTTCCGCCTCCTCCTCCTCCTCCTCCTCTTGGCCGTCTTTGATTTGATGTTGTGCTCAGGAAGAGGGCGACCTCATCAAGGAGTCTGCAGCGAGCGCACGGGAGCATGGTCGGAATTTCAACACACACACACACAAAAAGGGCTTCATCTCTTTGCTGACTGTACGTGTGTGTGCGTGTGTGTGTGCGTGTGTGCAGAATCAGAGCATCCCGAAGAAGAAGACAAGACAATGGTGAGTTTTTTGGTGTCCGTTTGGAACTTTGATGCCGTCAACCAATCCACCGATGGAGCCGCAGCTCGTTCATTGCTTGCTTTCTTCCTTCCCGCCCTTTCTGGACTTGCCAATTCCTTCCGGCCTTCACCCTTCCTTCCTTGCTTCCTCCCTGGCCGCACGTGGGTGTTGCACGTACACGCACGGGCGGTCGGCATCTTCAGTACGTGCTCAGCGAGATGGCGGCGTTGGAGGCGGAGCAAAAGCACATCGACGGCAGGGCGGCGGTGGTGGAGCGACGTCTCAGGAGCCTCATGGAAAGCGGTGTGACCTGCATGCGCGCACCACTTGACCGCTAACACATGCACGCCTTCACTTGACACCACTTGAGCTGTGTGTGTGTGTGTGTGTGTGTGTGTGTGTGTGTGTGTGTGTGTGTGTGTGTGTGTGTGTGTGTGTGTGTGTGTGTGTGTGTGTGTGTGTGACTTGACGTGACTTGACAGGAAGCGACCGCGCTGAGGAGGAGCGACTGATTCAGGAGTGGTTCACGCTGGTCAACAAGAAGAACGCCTTGATACGAAGACAAGACCGCCTGGAGCTGCTGTAGGTCACATGATGACGACGATGCGGATGATGACGATGATGACGCTGTCAATGACGCCCACAGGCAGGAGGAGCAGGACCTGGAGAGACGCTTCGAGCTTCTGACCCAAGAGCTGCGAGTCACGATGGCCGCCGAAGGTCAGCCGACCGCCCCCCGCGTCGCTCGGCTCGTGTCGCGCCGCCCGCCTTGACCGCGCGCGTGTTCCTCGCAGACTGGCAGAAGTCGTACGCCCAGCGAGAGCGCGAGCAGCTCCTCCTGCGCGAGTTGGTGTCTCTGGTCAACCAGCGCGATGATCTCGTCAGGAACATGGACGCCAAAGAGCGAGGGTGCGCGTCAACCGCCTTCAGCAGCCGCGCGCAGACACGCTCGAGGAATGTGTGTGTGTGTGTGTGTGTGTGTGTGTCACTGCAGGACACATTTGTCCTTGTCGTTGTACTTCCTCCTCCGCCTTCAGCAGCCGCGCGCAGACACGCTCGAGGAATGTGTGTGTGTGTGTGTCTTCGTGTGTGACCGTGTGGCTTTGCGTGCCGTGCAGGGCCCTGGAGGAGGACGAGCGTCTGGAGCGCGGCCTGGCGATGCGGAGGAGGAAGTACAACGACAAGGACAAATGTGTCCTGCAGTGACACACACACACACACACACACACACACACACAACTGCTGTTTTGCTCATCACACCACTGTTTTATTTATTTGCGTGGAGATTTTTTTTTTCTGGTCAGTGTGTGTGTGGCTTTGGAAGAAATGGTGATGATGAGCTGGACTCAACCCGGCGGTGGTCAGGATGCTCACGACCCCCACCGACTCTGAAATTCTACGTTGTCATCCGTCTGGAATTTCAAGTTTCAAATGAATGCTTTTATCCCTTTTGTTCTTGGCTTTTTCCATCTTTGTGCTCCAGCACGCCCGCGACGTTTGTGAAGATAAGCGAATGAGAAAATGGATGGATGGACGGAATGTCTTTTTGGGTGGGGTTTGTTTTGAATGAGACTCGATTTGACAAGCCCGCAAGCCGTGTACGCCAGGGGTGTCCAAAGTGGGTCCTCGCGGGCCGCCGTCCTGCCCGTTTTCCAGGAGCAACGCAGCTGATTCAAATCATCAGGGTCGTTGTCACGCCGCTTCAGAGCCGGCCGATGAGCCGATCATCAGAATCAGGTGCGTTGCAGCCGGGAGGGCCGCAAAAGAGGCGGCGCGGCGGCCCTCCGGGCCAGGAGCCGGACGTGCCTGCTGTGTGGTGTCGCCATCCGCCAGGGGGCGGAGCCAAGACTGTGACACCGAGATGCCTTGTTAGAATGACTTGGATTGTTCCGATGAGGAAAACAAGTTGTGTTTTATTTGAGGGGCTGAGTTTTGCACGAGTGGCGTGTTCGCGAGTAGGCGCCGCCAGGGGGCGCCAAACGCGGCGCCCTTGACAAGGGAAACTCGCACGCTCTCGAGCGCGGCGTCTCCCGCTCCGAGCGAGCGCCAGCGAGTCTTTCGCTTGAATGGAAATTGCGGTTTGCGTTTGGCTGGGTGCGCGCGAGACGCCAAAGAAAGACGAACCCGAGCCACCGAGTCCCATGATGACTGGGACAAGAAAAGGCGGAGAAGAAGAAGAAGAAGAAGACAACAGGCCCGAAGGGAAAATGGAGCAACAAAGTGAGCAACGGGGCCTGGAGATGAGGAGGCAACGGAGGGAGGACGGCTCAAAGGTCGAGGGAAGCGCCAAATGAACTCGGCATGTAAACAATGTCAACATTCCTTTTCCGGGACCTTCTCTGGCCTCCGCGACAAGAAGTCAACATGTTGCACGTCTTCGGCAGCCAACAAACACAAGACGCCAAAGCGAGGGCATCCGAGAGGACGTGACTGGCGCCGAGGGTTCAAGTGGTCTGATGCGGCCCGGGTTCCCCCCCTGACCGCCTCGGACCGGATCGGGCCGCGAGAGGTGGCCGGCCGGGACTGGATCGTGGTCGACCTGAGCAAATTGGATCCGAGTGGACCTGAGTGAAGTCCAAAAACTATGGGCCCGGTGGAAACTGGGCCTTGTGTATTGCAACAGGAGAAAATGGACCCCCCCCCCCACTCCCCCCTTGGGTCGACGGGACTTTCACTTTTCGCAATCTGATCGGATTGAAGTCGGAGCCATTGGATCTGACGTCCCCAAGCCGGTCGCCCGAACGGGATCAGACGTCATCCACCTCACCGACGCGTCCACGCAAAGGCGCCAGGAAAAGTCGGCCATCGTCAGTCGGCTCGTTCCCTGCTTCTGCTTTCTTCCAAGTCAGCAACTCTGCGATGCTTCTGTTTGTCGCTCAAGTGCTTCTTCGCCGCCGAAACCCAACACCCTGCCCGCTCACGCGTTCACCCCCCCC